CAATTTTAAGGGACTAGGTGGCTCAGTGGCTAAGACGCTGAGCTTGTCGATCAGAAAGTTCATCAATTTGGTGGTTCAAATCCCTAACACCGTATAATGGGGTGAGCTCCCGTTGTTTGTCCCAGCTTCTGCCAACCTAGCAGTTCGAAAGCTTGTAAAAATGCAAGTAGAAAAATAGGGACCACTTTGATCCTTACATGCAGTGTATATATCTGGCAGTCATTACGGACTCATGTGTCTGTCTGTGTGTGTGTGTGCTCATCTCCGTTTCAAAGCCAAAGAGCCAGCGTTGTCTGAAGAAGTCTCCGTGGTCATGTGGTTGGTATGAGTAAATGCCGAAGGTGCTCAGAAAACTGTTACATTCCCACCAAACGTGGTCCCTATTTTTCAACTTGCATTTTTATGTGATTTCGAACTGCTACGTTGGAAGAAGTTGGGAGCTTCCTGTAATGAATAGATGAAAGTGATAAGAGAGGATTAAGGAAAGAGCATCAGGTTTATGTCGGCGGATTTTGTCTGGAAAGGCAAACCATTGGGCTCCTTTAAAGGGGAAATTGTTCCTTGATTTGCTTATCTGTTGGGATAAAAGAGCCACACAGGGCATTGACTAAAACACTTCAATGAATATAACTTGCACATGCATTTTTCAATTAAGAAAAGGATTGGGACACTTTTTTCCCCTGCTTTGAGTTAATGGGAGAAAGGACCAGTTGATTGTACATTAAGTAAAAGGAAATATTGTAAAAATCCAACATGTCTCCAAATGATGCACAGTAATAGAGAATAAATGTATTTATTAGAGAGGACATCAAAATGCTAACACTTCAGATGTTTGCTGCAAAATTACTTTTTTAATTTATGGAAAACCCCAAATATATTAAATGGATATTTCAATTAAAAAAGGATTGTTATATGTGTTCCCCCATGTCTTTTAATGGGATAAAGGACTAATTTATTGTAACTTAAGAAAAAAAGGCTTGATAATAGAATCAGCACTTCTGAAAATGATGCAAAACAATAGACAGTAAACTTATTTTTTAGAGAGGACATCAAGAGGCCAGCACTTCTGATGTTTGCTGCAAAATTATTTTTTTATATATATTATGGAAAACCCCAAATACATTAAATTGCCGGGAAGCTTCAATATGCTCTGATTTCTGTTCTAAATTCAGACGTGGCTTAATAGTAAGGATTATAGTCTCTCAAGAACAGTGGTGGTATTCAGCCGGTTCGGAACCGTTTGGGTGAACCAGTAGCCCTGAACTTTGGGTGACCCCTCCCAGGCCTACCCGCTCCCAGCCACCCGCAGCAGCACCAAAAAGTCTTATGTAGCCTTGTTTTTGATGCCACGTGCATGCATGAAGGCCATGTGCATGACCAAAGCACATATGTCAAAGGCACAAACATGCATGACACAAGAGTGTGGAACAATGTTCCCTCTTTTTTTTTTTTCCAGTGTGTGCGGAAAAGTATAGTGTTTGAGTGGCACATTTTCATCCCTGAGCACCTGAATTTTTTCACCGATGTTTCACAGAGCAATTGATTTATAGGATCCGAATTGGAATGGAGAAAAATGGTTGGAATACGTAGACATTTTCTCTGGTGACAAACATTAAAGATATAACATTTTATAAAGATTCTCAGATTCTTTTTGTGCATCACAGATGTGAAATTTTGAAATTAAGGCTCCCAACTGTTCTTCATGTGTTTCACCCTTCAGACTTTTAACAATCTTAGTTGCTCTTTCGTGAAAACAGGCCAAAAATGTTGTATTCGGTGTATAAAGCACACCCAGATTTTCACCTTCTTTTTTTGGAGACAATGTGTGTTTGATACTTGGAAAAATACGGATAGTTGAAATAATGACCTCTTAGGATTCCTAGTAAGAACACATGGTTCAGCCACATTTTTGTTCCCTGTAATGAGTAGAAGAAACTGAAAAGAGAGGATTCATGAAATAGTGTAAGGTTTGTGTTGGTGGGTGTTGTCTGAAGACGGAAAGCAAGGGGTTTCTTTGAAGGGGCAATTGAACCTAAATTGAACCTACATATCAGTGGGGATAAAATAATGCCTCAGTGCAGGGGTGTCAAACTCAAGGCCCAGGGGGGCCAGATCCGACCCACAAGGTGCTTACACCTGGCCTGCAGGTCTGCTCTGAAAAGAGCAAAGGACTGGCCCATGGTTCGAAAGCCTGCAACAATGGAGCTCAGGAGGGGCACATGTGGACCTTGCAAGCTCCACTTTTGCTGGCAGACGGTTGCAAGAGGCCGTTGCACCCAAAAGTGGAACTCGGAAGCCTGTTTTGGCTGGCAGAGTATTAGGACCTCAACAGACACCCCAACACGAGTCACATTCAGCTGGCCACGCCCATCCTGGCCACACACACACCAGCCCCAGCCCCCGAGGTCAAACACAACCCTGATGTGGCCCCCAATGAAATCAAGTTTGACACCCCTGCCTTAGGGCATTGCCTAGTACATTTCAGTGAACCTAACTTGCATGTCCATTCCGTGATTAACATTCCAGTCCATTTCTCTTCCGTGTAAGTTAAGTGGAGAAAGAGCCATTGATAATTGAATTATTCCCTACCTCCCCACTCTCCCCATTGTATAGGCAATGGGATTTCATGTGGCTCATTGCTCTCCTCCCCTGCGTCCAAAATGATGAGGGGAAGCTTCCTAAATGCTTCAAATTTCTATCACTGCCTAAATTTGAGAGCTACTCAAAGATCGAGGAAGTTTTTATCTGGCTTCAGATTCACTTCCTCTCAATGTGTCTCCACACAATAATAGACAGCTGTGTCCGCTGGTTTGAGATTGTTCATTTGCAGATGCAACTGGCTGCGGGAATTATCCCTGGAGACGGTGAAGCGTCCCTTGACTTTGTCTGAATAGTAAATAGTATTGGAACCAGGGCTTATGTGTGTAACCCAATCCAATCCCTTCCCAGGAGCCTGTCTCAGCCAGGTCATCCAGTAACTGCTGAAGGTGAATCCAGAGGCTTGGCAGGAGAGACGGAGGGACTACCCAGGTCTTCTCACATCCCCTCCGGACTCCACCAACTGGACTTGAGATTGGACACCTAGAAAGAAAGTTCTTTCAATAAGCTCTCCTTTATACAAGAACAACACATGGAATGATCCTGAATGGGGACAAGACAGTTACCTTGG